GTGAACATATGGAAGGCCAAGTTTTTGAAATTCAATGGTACATGTCACTACCTCACATACAAAGAAAATAAAAAACAAAAAAAAATTGTTAGCAATATACAACAATTAAAACATAATAATATTTATAATTAAAACAATATTTAATAGACCAAATAGATAAAAGAATTGTACCTCCACATCTTGGTTCAAAATGTTTTTTCTTAGGCAAATCTTTCATAAAATAATGTAGTTTTACCTTTAACCCTTTTGAAACAACATTAGGTCTGTCTGGTGCTCACTGACTAGGTATGATACATAAAGCTTCATTAATTGTTCACTATCATGCATTACAGGTAAATGTGATGGACAAATCTAGACAACTATAATATTGGCAAATAGCCATCGCATCATAATAACTTTGGAATAAATATCAAGTACTCCCAAAAAACGTTGCAAGAAAAATGACTTGTTTCCTTACTGTATTAATTGGCACATCACCTTTCGAAACAACATCCTTCAACCCTTTATAAACTTTAAAACTTAAGACTCTTTTGATTATCCCTTATAAACTGTAACCTCATCTCCTCAACTGCAGCTAATGCATCAACAATAAACTGTAACCTCATCCTTCCGATGATGTTTTGTCCATTTATTTTAAAGATATACAAACTTTGAGTACTATTTACATTATTATTTATCTTACCTCCTATGGATGTAAACTGAAATATAGAATTGTAAATGCTAATGATTTTTTTAAAATGACTACCCTTGTACCCTCCTCCATAATTTAACAAATAGTCTAAAAAATCAAGTGCACATTTAAACAAAAGTAATAGAGCCGTACCTTGCTAACAACATAATGTAAATGTACAAAAACCTATAGTTTGAGTTGTGTGAACTCTTTCTTCATATCACATTATAGCAGTACAAAAAGGACAAATACAATTCAATATTTTAAAGCTAAAGATTGTGTTGTACCTTTCTATTGTTGCAAAAGAAAACAGTAAACTACTAATCATAAAAGTTGTAAAACTAATTGTGCTAACTTAAATGTGTTAAAATTTAAAGCTCACTTACTTGTATATCCATTATTCCTAAACTCATTTGACATTTCAATGTGACTTTGAAGTCGTCCAATGCTAGAATTAATAATTCTACGACTACCTTTTGGTTTTACAAACAAACAAAAATCATAAATTGGCAAATGCCAACAGTACTAAACATTCCTTTAACAACTATCAAACAATTATATATGTTAAGCCAATCATACAAATATTTGTACATATACGTTGAATATTATTTCATGCCTTGGTAGCACTTGTTGAAGCAAAGTCCGCTGTAAATTGATGATCCATAATAGGCACATCATATGGACTTTTAAAATCAAAATTACATCTTCTTATAGTTTTTGCTAACAGATTATGGACAATTAGAACATCATATAAATTTTCAAAATCAAAATTATATATTCCGTTGACATACTCACAATTAATTGAACTTTGACTATTCAAATGATAATCAATTGTTTCACAGTTAACACTGTCGATAACATTCCTATCTTTTACTATTGAAGAATGATCCATAGTAAACGACAATTCTAAACAATCAAGAAAAGGAACATCACAAAGCTCATAAGAAAAAACATCACTATAATTTGAATGATTAGCAATTTGTATATATCTTGTTCTTTTCCTCGTACCTTCATTTAACATTGCATTTGTATAATGTACACAATACGTAAATTAAACTTACAAAACCTATATATTAATTTAATATCCCCTACCCTCAATAGTTGACTTCTAGGTGCAAAAAGAAAACTATTCTTACTAAGTACAAATTAAATATTTTTCAAGAAACCAGAAGTAAACCATAAGCATCTTAACAATTTATTGTGCATACTTGTTTATACAAACAAAATACACAAAAGTAAAGGATACAAATAAAATTTCTATCAAAGTAACAAAGCAATGAGAATATAATGAAATAACCTAAAGAGAAAAAAATATAAAAATTGAGATGTTATTTGTAAATGCTATAAACTCACAACTAAACAAATTTATCAAATTTCAAACAAGTGAAAACCCCAAGTACAGAATAGAGTAATTTGAATGATCAAATCTGACCACCTGAAACAATAAAAGAAAATATTACAATTAAATAACAAATAATCAAACAATTTGAAACCAAATCAAAATAAAAATAAAAAATAGAACGCTAAAATCAAAGAAACTAAAATAAATATAAGAACAAAATAGTAAAAACAAACAAAAAATTTGAAATGAAACAAACTATTTCATTGTTTTCTTAATATGGATAAAAAGAGAACAAAAAAAATAAAATAATAACAAAACCCTACAATACATACTAAAACACTACAATATTAAACCCTAAACTATACCCTAAACCACAAGAAAACAACACGCACGAAATCAGAGAATGATAAAATGAAAAGAAAATAAAAAGCTATCATAAGAAGAAAATATCACTGGATAAACTAATCAACAAAGAG